AAGTTTATTTAAAAATAACCTAGAGTTATTAGGTAAAAGTAAAGTAAAAGTATAAAGTAAAAGTAAAGGTAAAATAGCAGTATATCTCACGCTAATAGAGTAGCAGTTAGGACAGTATATATAGGGTCTAACTGTTCTAGAAATCTATCTCCTTTACACCTCTGCCCTTTTTACAGCTTAGAATTTAGAAGATTCTAAACTTTTTAAGGTAAGTATATTCTAAGCCACTCTAGCGTAATCTAGCGTAAAGGGGTGCTAACAAGCTTTAATAGTCCTATCCTACCCTGCTTGCGCCTGCCTGTTGCCTAATCTGCTTTTAGCTCCTTCTCTTATGCTTAACTTTACTTAACAACTTTAAAATAGACCTCTGTAGCCTACTCTGTTGTAATTTAGCTATAGTTTCTCTTAAAAAAAATTAATTAGCTTTTACTAACATAAACTTACGCTCTAACAACTCTTGTGTTTAATGCATTAATAAAATGTCCTACAAGGGCATTATAGATAAGAGTGGTAGCTATTATATGCTTATAGACAATAAATTACGTTGTGGCATAAAGGAAAAGAGAATTAAGTACACTAAGTGTGCTTATTACCTTAAATTTAGTAAAAAGTGCTTTAAGGTGCGTACTCTAGCTCCTTTTAGCGTATTTACGCGCAGTCTGTCCAGGCTAACCCTAGATAGCTCCCTGTTACCTTTAAACCTAAATAATAGGCTCTTAAGAACGCTGTGCTTAATGTTTTAGCCCCTATTAATTTACTTAACCTTGCTTAGTTAGCACAGGCTAACGCAACAGTTATGTTATAGGTAAACACTATTATTTAGTTCCTTTAGGCGTAAGTCTTTCTGTTACAGCACAATCTAGCTTAATTAGCCTTGTTCTAGCTCTTAATAGTTCACAGCAAAAACAAAATCCTGTACAATAACCATCTGTACACGCACAGTGGCGTTATAGGCAAAATTGCTAAGACTAGAGTTGTTTTTAAGAAGCGCGCCTGCTCTAAAGCTAATATTGCTAAGAAAGAGAAAAAGAAGCGTAAGGCGCTTAAGAAGAACTCTAATAAAGATAAAGCTGCAATAACTTTATCTAAGAAGGTAAGTACGCGCTATTCTTAACTATTCTAGCACTAACTAGCATAATAGAAGAAATATAGTGTTAAAAGTGTCTATGTTACTAAAGCTAAGTAATGTTGTTGTGTTAATGCTGCTAAAGCTGCTAATGCAATCTACTGCGTCTCTAAAGAGCATAATAAGGCTAATAATATTAAAAATAAGGCTAGTTAGGATTAAACCTTAGCTAAAAAGAGGTAGCTAACTAGGTATAATAAGAAACATCCTAATAGTTGTTCTGCTGTTGCAAATTTACCTACAGAGGACCTTAATGTCTAATCTAGGGCCCTGATGGCACAATCTAGTGTAATCTAGCGCATCCTATAGTAAAAATAGTTAAGAATGCATAGTATAGTGTAGTTTTAAGTTCTTTAGCTTAAGCTTCTTTCTTCTTTCTTTAATAAAGTTAAATACTCTTATATTATGTCCCTTAGACTTAAAGTGTAACTGTCTTAGTAGTAATAAATTAATCTACTTCTAGCTTACTTACTTTACAGCTCTTTTATTCTAAAAATCTTAGAATGTTCTGCTAGACTTAAACTCTACCTTTTTCTTGCTAGTATAAGTTATTCTAGGCTAGGATGTTTGTTTTTTCTATATAATAGATTTTTTTAGGTTAAAATAACCCTCTTCTTAACTCTAGTAAGCTATTCTATGCTAGAATAGCCTTACTTAGTCTAACTAAGGAATCTTAGGTCTAAATAGGCTATGTTGTCTTTCTATTCCTATAGCGCTATTAAACACCTCTTGTTAAAAAAACCTTAAGTAAAGAAAAAATAAAGTAAAAGTAGCTATACTTAATTTATTAAGTTACTTTTTTTTTTTTTAAAAAGTTTAACTTAAACTAGCATAATTTAATCTTTTACTATATATTTCTTTACTTTTTTAAAATACTTTTAATGTGTTTAAGCTAATGTTAAGTCTAAGTTTTTATAAGTTTTTTTTAGATAGATAACTTTTTTATTTTATAAGATATTTCTATACTCTAACTAAATTCTGTCTCTAGTTAAGTATTTTTTTTACATAGTACACATTATCCCCTATAGCGCGTAGAGTGTTTATAATTAGTTCTAATTATAACTTAAGACACCCTTTCTAGGTATATAGCTCTAAGAGTAAGACATAGAACACTAGATAAACTTCTCCTAAATTAGGTAGGTCTACTTTATACGCCTCTACACTAATCTAGGCTATAACTTTTTCTAGTTTTAAAAACTTTTAGTCTAACTTTTTCTTTAGCCTTATTAATTTTATGTGTTTATTAAAGACTAATACTTTGTCTTCTACTTGCAGCTGTATATACTTTTATTATTTATCTACATACTTCTTTTAATACATATTTACAGCAATAATTTTCTAGCAGCATTTTAACTGTAGAGCAAGTGCTTTC